GCTCATTTATCATCACACATGGGCATAAATACAATCATAAAGTCAAAACTTTATTGGCATATTTGTCAGGCGGTTATTTGCAAAATAGGCCTATATGGTAGGCTAGCAAATGCTAGCATAATTATACAAAACGTTAACTAGGTAAAGCGATAGACAAATTAAAAGGGGAAATAAGCATATATAACAATAAATATAAAAATATAGCCCTAATAAGTTAATGTAATAATAATAATAATATACAAATATGAAATTAAATGTTTAATGTTAATAAAAAATTTTAATCTATTTTTGATAATCCCGGGTTGCTATGGTCACGCAGGTTTGTTTACGCATTAAACTCGTGGCCACAAGAAATTTATGTCGTTCCCTCAACAAAATGATCTCGTGGCCACGACATAATATCATGTTCCCACGAGTTAATATGAAGTTCCCTCAAATGAATATCTCGTGGCCACAACATATTATCACATTCCCACGAGTTATTATGTCGTGGCCACGACAAAACTAAGTGAACCAGGCCACGACATAAGGATGTCGTTACCTCGTCAAAATTATCTCGTGGCCATGACATAATATCACGTTCCCACGAGTTAATATGATGTTCCCATGAATTAATATCTCGTGGCCACAACATATCACGTTCCCACAAGTTATTATGTCGTGGCCACGACAAAACTAAGTGAACCGACCATGTCACCTCACGGGCACCGTAGGTCTGAGCAAAAATATGGCAGACAGACTGAATGAATTGTAAATCCACAGTTTAACAGCAGGTGGCGCTTATGAACAACAGAACCAGGGTTGCCAGGTTTTCACAACAAAACCTTCCCAGTTGCTACCCAAAACTAGTGGTTCAACGGATCACAAATCTCACGGTTCGGATCACATCAGATTCGTTCGGATCATTCGGATCATTTTTCGGATCAGCATGAAAAGAAAAATATTTAAATTTAACTTGCTTTCCATTTATTACTTAAAGCGAAGTACTTCTTTGATACCACAGCAAATACTACTAGATTAACTAAGAAAGTTTAAACATGATTAAAGAGACAAGAGAACAGCCAGTAAAAATAAGAACAAATACACAAATTACAAGCATAGATAAATACAACAGAATATGTTACAAATAAAATAAGGTTGGTAGTATTCAAATACAGAAATGTAATAATTAGGGAAAATAACACTGCATAGTGTTCACTGTATAAATTATATATAGATTTTTATCACAGCTGTTTTGTTGTTTGATGATCATTAATGACAACAGCAGTATTTATAGGCCGCTGTCCCTTTAAGACCTGATGCACAGATCCGATAATGATACACATCACATCCGATTTATTTCTCAGCTGTTTTCATTCACTTGAGACATAACTGACTGCGCTTACCTGAATGATTGTCGAGATGGGTATTTTGCCATAATTTTATGTGTATGTTCAGAGGATTCAGAAGAGGATTCAGTTCGGTGTTCGCACGCCGTCTGAAACGCGTGTGCGCGTAGAGAACAGCGTGTGAGTAACGAATAGAGTTCCCTTCGCCTTTTCTCTCTGGAATTGTTTAAAATTTGCTTGCTTGTGTAAATACGAACAAATTATAAACTTATACTCTATTATGGTTAAATTTTGCAATTAATCCGCGGATCACATGCGTGCCGAACCGCAAAGTTCCGGATCTCCGGCGTGCGGCGTTTGGCTGCGGGGAAAAAAGATAGTCGTCCTACATTTAAAAACTCTTGATATCACGTTCGAGTTCATGAGTTTGCCTACCAATGTATGAGAGGAACACAGCTTTCATTCACTCTCAACCAAACTAACATTACTAGCCAAATCAGAAGTTTTTGCTCTTATAAACACGAGACATGCATTAGTATCCAATTGCAGAGTCGCAGCTGATGAATGGAAAAGAAGCCTGGGTCTCGAGCGCGACACATTGAAAAAGCTCTGCAATGGATTTAAACATCATTGAAATACACAAAACATCACCAGGCCGCTGGCACCCTCTGCAGGTATTTGTTATAATATAGGCATAGTACATTATGTATTTAACAGTTGTTCAATAAAACCAACTTGGTTTTGATACTTTATTTGAGGCCAATTATTATTGCCTCATCGTTACTTTATATCAGAATATAAACACTTATTATAGGTATACCGTAGTGATTCAGGACAAGCCAAAAACACGGTTTGGAAAATGGATTCATGGTGTACTCTCTTATTATATAAATTTTGTAAATTTTGAACACAAAGTTACGAACTGCAGCTTTAAGCCCTAGATTAGTTAAAACATTTCAAAATACAAGTGCATTGTTTTACTTTTTGTGATTAAAAGACAAATTATTTGTCATTTGAAAATTTTTTTAAGTATTAAAACATTGTCTCATTGTAGTGAATCAAGTTTCTGCATTTTGTCTCACCTGTTACACCCATAGTGTCTATGAGCGTGATAAAGCTCATAATTTTCCAAGTGTATGATATAGCTTTA